GTTTGATGCAAAAACGCATGATCGCACCGGCTCGCCTGGTGCGTTCCAGCCTGGGTTTTTTTTGTAGCAACGCAAAAAGCATGAAAACTAACATGTGTACTTCTAGAAGGCCGTGTTTCTATTTAGCACCTTATTGTGCGCCAGTGTGATAAGCGCTAACCTAAGCAGCTACTTGCTGCAAAAGGTGAAATTGAATTGTCAATTTACGTTTGCTACTGAGTGTGTCTAAACTGAATAATTTTTCAGGCGGATATTAATCCAGATGATTCTAACCTTGATGTGGTCCCTAGGTTTTCCGTGATTTCAAACAAATACTAATAGCTTTCATGCCTTGCCAGCATGAATCCGAATAGCTAACATCCCAAGCGCTCATCGGTTTAGTTGCTTACACGTTGCGTGGCACATCCATGATAATTATTTATTGATTTTCCTCCGGCTTTTTCACAGTACACAGTGAAAATAACAATTAGGATTGCGTGCTGATATTGTTAAAACTTATTAAAATTCATATCCTTAAATTTTTTGGTGGGGTAGTCGCGCCAGCTTTGGATTTGCGCAGCAACATAGGCAGCTTTTTCCTTCTCTAACCATAACTTTTTGGCACGAGCGCGCAGCTTTTCCATACTTATCATGTCCACGAAATCTTCGCCTCCCTCAACATGCTTACGATTCATAATTAGCACATTGCTGTCACGCGGGGCCGAAGCCACAAGATCAAAGGATCGATCCAGCTGCATAAACTTTGTTAAGATAACGTAATCGTCGTCCTCGAAAATTTTTACCAAATAATCATCATAATCATTAACGTGACGGAAGCGTCGTTCGAGTGGCGAATAATAGGAACGACTGCGGTAAATTCCATACGCAATAAGACCAATCAATTTTCTTTCCTTCTTCGGGCCCTTTGTAGTGCCAGTAACGGGAAAAACTTTCGGTTTTGGTTGTTCGGGGATGGCTTTTTTCTCTTGCAGTGTTGCATTCGGCTTCACTATTTGTTGGTTTTCGAAAGCTGCGCCGGGCTTTATGAATGCATTATTTAGTTTTAATTTTTCTGAAGTTTTTTTCATCTTCGACTGGTCGAATCTTTCGGTAATGTACTGAAAAGAAACAGTGGATAAAAGATCTTATCAATGTGGTGCTTTTCTACTTCCAGAACTGAATCACGGGTGACATCATGAAGAATCCTAGTGAAGCCAAGGTAGCCTCCTTCCTCTTTGTATCTCTAACTCAGTCCGATATTGCTCGCTATGCGTTTGTGCACATATGCAAATGCAAAAAGGCACATTGTGACGACCCCGGTGTGTGTGTATGTGTAAGCGTGCGTATGTGTGTGTGTGCGTCTGCCTGGGTATTTCAGTTCCGTAACCAAGCAAGCTCCGGCGCCAGAACTTTGCCAGCGGGTTCCTGGCCAAGTGCCACCCAGGACCGCGGTATCAACACTCACGCATATTTGGGCCCAGAACACGATCACGTGAAAACTTTGACGGGAAAACGCTAACTCAGGAACCAGAAAAACTAAAAGGCCGAAATTTTGAGGGATGTCCCCCATGCACGTAGAGTCCAAAAGCTTCAAATTCAGCTTCCAGGCAAGCATGGCTCTCAGATGGCATCAATTTTTTAAACGAATAAAAAGAGTATGTCACAAAAACAGCAGTTCTGAATTGACCCGCAAAATAGGCTTGAGACAACTGAATTCAAATTTTATCATTATCAGTGAAGCCATATTATTTATCATTGGCGGCGAGCATTTGGCGATCCCGTGCGATCATGCGTTTTTGCATTATTTCATGCTGTTGTAAGACTGTTTGGGGACAAAGCAGCTAAAATTTATGGCATACTCGTTCTCGAAGTTCATTTGAAGTTAATGGTACGTGGACATGGAAAATTTCCACAAAATTTCAGATTCCTGTCATTCCTGGTCCTCGAATTAACAATTTTCTTGCCAAAAACTTTCACGGGGAGGCAAATGAGAGCCATGCGTCCTGAAGGCTGAATTTGAAAAATTTAATTTGTAAGTGGGGTGGAAACGTCCCTTTAAAACTTCTGCCTCCCAGCTTTCCAAGTTCCTAAGTTAACAACTTCCCCGCCAAAAAATTAAACAGCGCCGCAAGTGGGAAGCACGCGCGCCCCAGGGGCTTAATTTGAAATCTTTGAGTCCTATGTGAACAGAGGAAATAACCCTACGATTTCAGCTTTCTGGCTTTTCTGGTTTCCATGTTAACGATTTTCCTGCCAAAACTTCCACGCGCTTGCACGCGGGGCCCGGACGTGTGTGAGGGCTGGTGCCGCAGCCCTGGGGTGGCACTTGGCCCGCGAACCAGGGGTTTTGGCGCCGGAACTTGCTTGTTGCAGAGTTGAAATATCCAGACAGACAAACACATACACACGAACGCCTGGATCGTCACAATATGCGTTTTTGCATTTACATATCTGTAAAAACGCATAACAAAGGCTGGAGCGCACCAGGGGAGCCGGTGCGATCGTGCGTTTTTGCATCAAAACTAAAGTAAAAGTATTGCCCGAGCGTTCGTTTC